CATACAGCTCAAGTAGCCTCATCTCAGGTTTCCAGACCTGAGCCACTGCATTCTTCTTTCTCTAGATGCTAGCAGTCCACTTTTCAGGTTGTTCTTATTATATATGCTGTCATGTTTGTCTTAGATGGGGTTGCACATGGGAGTGGAGAGTGTGACCCTCCTTCCCTTTTGTTGCTCTTTTCACAATGTAAGACCAATTTGCTCTTACAGTATCTTCCCAGCCAAGGGTCCCTGTTCAGCAAGAGCTCTGCAAATAAGTCAACAGTATCTCCAGAGCTGACTCACAAGCGTGGAGGTTGTACTTTCTCTTCTGCCAGTGCTGTCCAGCCAGCTGGTTAAAGTCACTGCTGCTGGAGAGATGGAGTTTGGCTGGGCTGTAGAACTGATATCCTGCAGGGATTTAACCTCCTACTGCACTTCCTTAAGGGTGAGCTATGAATCGTGTTTCCTTGAGAAGTCCCACGGGCTGTATTCTGTGTATCAGAACTCCTGCCTCCCTCTCCCTGCTCTGTTTTTGGTGGCACCAGTTACTCATTGGGCCTGCAGGTGTTGCTGAATGCTGTTAAACTGTCCTCCGTGTCAGTTTGCACATAGCCACATAAGCAATGGAAAAAATGAATCTTTCATATTTTTTCCAAGAAGTGGGAACTATTTTCTCATACCAGTAACTTATTAGGACAGCATGCATGAACTTGGCTCTTTCACACTGATGCAAGGCTTCATAGTCTGTGGCACTGATCATAAGGACTGTCCTGAATGGCAGGTAATTGCTGATCTTCAATGGCCCTCTGCATTTCCATTTTTTCTCTTTGTGGACTGCTTTATTTCTCCCTTCCTGGGCTTTTGCACAGTTCAGACACCATACCAGTACAGTATGATCACCATGGACCCCTAAAATCCAGTACATAAAAACAGTCTCTGTCTGCCTGCTAATGAAAATCCTTGTTAATTATGGGATAGCCACATCAGTGAGGGAGCAGCCACAGCACTGGCTGAGAAATGTTCAGTTAGTTTTTCTAAGATCTTGAAGAACTAGTTCAATAAATCCTTGCTTGCTTGAATGAGTGCCCCTTCCGTCTCCCATCACATTTTTCATTATGTCACTTGGATACACACGCACGTGGTTTTAGCATGAAGTTAATCCCCGAGCTGCAGTGCAATGATTAACCCGTCACCCTTGAATTTCTTGCTACCACATGATCTAGTTCTTATGGACCTAAGAGTTAAGCTGAAAACACTTGAGGGGAGTGGATATTTGCTTGCCATGGAAGGCCAGCTTTAGTCATATATATATACAAACTTTTTGGCTTGGGGAGTACAGGTAAATAACATGGCATAGCTACCGTGTCGTGCAAACAAATATTTGTACCTACAGTTATTACTGCTGACTCAGGATTCTTGAAAATAATCTGCCAAGAAAATACCTTTGAGAATAAATATCCTGCAGTGTGCAGCTTTTAAACTTTCTGTTAACGTACAGGTTTGTGACACCTGCACCATTCAGCTCAAGTGAATCAAGTTGTATGATCAAGTTGTACCAAGATAGTAACCCACCATAGTCTGTTCAGCCGAGCAGCCTCCGAAGGGTTGCATGTTCTCTCCTCTCTGGATAATTATGTGTATAACCAAACATGAGTTAAATATGCACAATGCTCTGCTTTGGGGTGACAGTACATCCTTATTCCTGCTGTAAAATCCCTAGCGTTATTCCCAAGGGTTGTGACCCCAGCACATTTACTTTCCAGTGACTCTGGGTGCACTGGTGTGGAGCAGCCAATGCTGCTGGCAGCCCTGCAAAATGAAGGCTGGGAGGGAGGGCAGCAGGTTGGCATTGACTTGTTTCGTGTACCTTGAGAGTGCTGTATATTGTGTGTTTGCCAGGGAACAGAGCCAAACATACTGCAGCTTTGTTAAAGAGTTAAATTTAGGCTAGCAACCTCTGTTTCTAGTTTTTGCTATTTTTTAATGGCTTTAAACACCAAGCCAGACTGGCCTGTTTTTGCCTCCTTGCCTTTTCCCAAGGGATGTGCCCAAAGGTCCAGCTAGAGGGTCAGCATGTTCTCTTGTTTTGAACTGAGCAATTTCAGATGGAAAATCAGCATTCCAGCTTCTATGGGCAACAGGTCACTGGGCTGCATAGATGTTCTTCCTGGCTCCCTCATTTTCACAGGGGTGGCAGGCCTTAACGTGTTGTGATTTCTGGAATGACTTTCTGCCCTCACCCCCTTTAAGCAAGGTAAATGAAGTTTGCTTTCATCATAGAAGAAGAAAAAACAGAGGTTTACAATGGGAAACAATAAACTATTTTTGTGCTTCACAAGTTGGGGCTGTTTCTTGACTTGGTCCCTTTCAGGAAGGATTTTTTGCTTGTTGCCCTTGCTCTGTGCACAGTGACACCTGACTGGCCTCTGTGTTCCAGGGAGAGGAACATCTGCTCATCCTTGGGCAGGCCTGTATCTTTTGTGTCTTTTGTTGGGAGAGACTCCAGCTCTGAGGCCATAAGCAGACCCCAGAGAGACAATGGTGTGAAAACACAGGGCAGGTCAGCAGCACCAGGTCCTGTGGTCCCATCAAAGCAGGGGTAAGAAAGGGGCCAGGCAGGAATTTGGACGTGTCTTGTCCCTGGGCCAGCTGCCTACTCTGCCTATTGCTTGGGCTGGCAGGCAGGCACCCAGGCCCTGGGGAGACTGGGAGGACCTGGAGAGCTGCCCCTCATCATCAGTTCCACCTTGAAAGATGCATTTCTGGGCAGTGTCACAAGCGAGACTGGAACAGTGTTTGAGGAGACACTCAGAGGCACCCCAGGAGATGGCATCGTTCCAGCATAGTGGGAGAGCACCTTCTGGGGTGAAGGGGCTTCACAAACAGCCCAGGAAGCATCCCCCAGGTATTGGGAAAGGGCTTCTCCTATGAGATTTTCGCTGGCCTGGACAAGAGAGGGGAGAAAGACACAAATTGTAGGAGTGATGGTTTCCAGCTCCCCACAGCTCTGATGTCCTGCCCATCCCTATCCCATCCCCATCCTCACAGAGATGTCTGATGCCCGAGGCTGGGGCTGCCCAGCTGCCCTGCTCCCTGGCTGGGGGTGAATGGGGGTGCATAGGGGTGGCCTGTCTTGCCCCTCAGCCCTTGGCTTCCCCACCTGCAGAGGTTCCCTTTCAGTTCCCTCCTCAATCCCTTCATACAGCAGGGCCATAGCAAAATACACATGTGCATTTAAATGCCTACATTTGGAACTTGTGTTTCCAGCCCGTTTCAACTGCAGTGCCTAAACCACACAGATTTCCACTTCTAGCTGGACACAACTATCATTCTTTCATGTGTTTTTTAATCAGATGTACTAAAATAATTCTGTGAGATTTATTATGTCTCTGACTTGTAAAATACAATAATTTCTTACTAGGTTACACTAATATTTCATAATTCATTCTTAGTATTATTCTTCAATAAAGGTCTGTGCATACAATCTATCCCACAGGAGGAGATTCTGCCAGATCCCAGCAGCCAAATACATTTGCTTCAAATACCGGAGTTCATGACCTTTTATATTTGTTAATGTGACACTATGGAAATTATTTATAATAAATATTACTTCAGAGGTGCTCCATGGGGACTTTTTCAGTGATACAACAGTCTTTCCTGAAACAGGTCTTTCCTGTTTTGTTTGGGGGTTTTGGTGGTTTTGGGGGTGGGGTTGTGTGTTTGTTCTTGGGGGGGGGGGGGAGGGTTGCTGGGTGTGGGTTTTGGGTTTCCCCCCCCCCCAGCAATGAAGGTTTGGGAACAATTCGAAATCCAGTTCTTGAAGTGAGTCCAGTTCTTGAAGTGAGTTCAACTACTGCACTGAGAGGTGGACAGAAACTCGAAGATATCTCAGATTTCAAATCTTTCCTGAAATCAGCAACAGGTAACATTCTTCCTTTCTTTTTTATCCTTTACCCAGAAAATGCAGTTTTCAAACAGCAAACTGTATCCAGACAAACACTAAATATATTGGCTTAAAGCACCAAATCAAATAGAAAATACTGGAATTGTTTGGATCCAAATGACAGATTCGATATGCCAAGTGATTTTTGCCTGGAGTGTGCTTATTTTATAGCAGGGATAGCACATATACCCACAATTTTGCAAGAATGAAAGCTCTAGAAAATATCTGAAGGTGTCAGGATGGTGATAAAGTTTAGTCTTATTATCTTTTTTTCAGAAGGTGTGACAATGTCCTCGCAAAACTTTGCTGGTCATTAAGAGCAGCTGGCTCTTAATGAACACTCAAGAAAAGGATGCAACTGGAAAACACTTCAAGGAGCATGTCTTGGATCTATTTCATCCTTTGTAAACTGTATGTGAAAGTTTATAATGTCCCTTGAGTTTACTGGATGCATCATCTTGGATTCCTAGACAGTAGCAGCAGCAAGAAATGCAGCCTGAGGACGAAGCTGAACCATTTTCTCCTGCATAAATATGCACCCACAGTCACTTCTGCTTGTCAGCCCAGGCTGAAGCTGATGGCCTGAAAAGTCCACTCCAGGTCCAGCACAGCACCCCTGTGCCTCAGTGGTTGTCTACCCAGGAACCTCAACTTGCCTTAGGCTAGTTTGGGGCTGGCAAACTAGCCAGGTTGAAGTTTGAAGACTGCTGTGTAGTTCAGAAGCAATTGCTGCAGCCCACACAGATATGGGATTGGCTGTAGAGAGACAGAACCAATGTGTTCTGGTGCATGAAGGATAAGCCTTCCTTAGCTTTATTATCAGAATGTATTAATGATGTGTGTCTGTACAAAGAAAATCTGCTTTATAGGATAAGGCAAGGCAACAAGCCAGCAGATATCTTTTCAAATTCACAGTACATCAAATCTAGACGAGGTAAAGACAGGGTCTAATTTGGACAAGAAAGTTTCTCCGTGCGATTGCACCTCTAGGCATTGTAGCAACGTTTTCAAAAGATGTTGTGCAACAAAGTTGTTCTCAGTGCTTTGGGAGGAGGTAACTGGCTGCAGCTGCAGATGGAGGACAGAATTACAGTGGTTATGTCAGGAGAGCGTGACGTTGAACATGCATTTGAAAAAAGGAGAAAACAAGAAATAACAGTCACAGATTGAATTACAGCAGCTTTCTATAATGAAGTGTGTGGACCCCACCCAGCATCTGTGGCAGAAGAGGGAAGGTGTCTGCTTAACTCAAAGGTTATGATGGGAATGGAAAAAGCCAGGCTCCAGCTGAGAGTAGCACAGGAAGGATGAGGAAACAGTTTCATGTTTCTCCCAGTAAAACCTCAGGGGATAAAGATTACTGCTGCAAAAACTTTAATGGTTGTAAAAGCCTCTGGCTGCAGAAGTTGTTTATTACAAAGGTGTATTAACCACTTAGAGACTTCAGCTGAAAAGGACTCTGCTATTTCACATACATCTAAGTTGCAAACTCCTTTTTTCTCTTGCAAAAAAACTCTGTATCAGAAAACTTAATTTAGTGCCTATACATGGAATTTGGCCGTAAGATGTTATATGCTGTGTGCTGGACTTGTCCCGATAACGCCCTGCTTTTAGGTCCTAACAGCTGAGCTCATCACTTGGCTATTGCAGTACACACTGGATTCTAGCTCTGATGGTAAGTACATCACTTCATGTTAGTTTCTGAAAATTAAAGTATTTCACAAGCAGTAATTTTAGATGCTTGCTTGCTACGAAGGATTCCAGAGCTGGGGAAGCTATTTGCAAGTGATGGCTTAATTGCATGTGATCTGCAAACTAGGCAGGAACTACTAAGCAATGATGTTTTCCACTTTTTTGCTTGAAAGATTACAGCATGCTCTCTGCAAACATGATTCAACCTCTCTGAGCTGCTAGATCTTTTAACATGGGGGTTGGTATGACCCAATACATGTGCACGAGTGCTGGGATCAGGGTTCTGATGCAAATGATTGTGAGGGAGAATTCAGGATTGATTGATGCAAAGCTGCAGCCTCTGTCAGCATTCCTGCTTAAAACTTTGTTGACTGGAGTATTTGCACAAAGTGAAGAAAAGGGTCTTAGTCTGTTTGAAAGCTTTTGTAGATAAAAAGGATTACTCAAGAACATTTGTATCTATATTTAGACATGGGGGTTTTATTGTATCATTATTTTGCTTCCTAAAGGTTTGAGACCCAAGGACAATAACATGCACTCCTGCTTGTAGCTACTTCCTACAGCCTCCTCTTCTGGCTACTCTTCTTTCACTGAGAAAAACACTGGGAAGTTGTAATCCAATAGCATAAACAACCTCAGCAGCAAGTGAAAAAGTGTGCTGTGCAGAGGTTCAAAACAGATGAGACAAGACCTTGCTGGGGGATATGAGACGTGAAGCATAACCCAGACTAATAAATTCTCCTCTGTTGGCTCTGCATGGGCCTACTCAAGTGGCTCAGCCCTGCATTTCTGGAGCTCAGTGCTGTGGTTTGGCACAGCCAGCCAAAACCAGGCCAGTTTATTAGCTTGGTCTTAGTACTGAGGGTGCCCTGGGTGGAGGCAGCATGAGGAGACAAGAGCAGCTGCAGAGCATCAGAACTAATGAGGATGAGTGGCTGTAGTGACACTCTGGTGTGGACACAGAGGAGAGAGGCCAAGAGCAGGCATCGGTGAGGCATAGGAACATCACCAGGCTTCTCAAGCGAGGTTTAGCTGCAGAAAGCTTACAAATACTAGAGCACAACCTGGGGCACCCTATGCTGCCAGGAGGCTGGTAGGGAATGAAGACAGTATTTGCAGCTGACAGAGAGGTCTAGGAAGCAAAGAACAGTTGCACAGTTACAGGTTGGGCAGAGAAGAGATTCAGAGCAGCCCTGTGGAGAAGGACTTGGGGATGCTGGTTGATGAGAAAATGAACATGAGCCAGCAGTGTGTGCTTGCAGCCCAGAAAGCCAACCGTATCCTGGGCTGCATCAAAAGGAGCGTGACCAGCAGGTCGAAGGAGGTGATCCTGCACCTTTACTCTGCTCTTGTGAGACCTCACTTGGAGTATTGTGTGCAGTTCTGGTGTCCTCACCATAAAAAGGACATGGAACTGCTGGCACAAGTCCAGAGGAGGGCCACAAGGATGATCAGGGGACTGGAGCACCTCCCATATGAAGACAGGCTGAGAAAGTTGGGGCTGTTCAGCCTGGAGAAGAGAAGGCTGCGTGGAGACCTCATAGCAGCCTTCCAGTATCTGAAGGGGCCCTATAGGGATGCTGGGGAGGGACTCTTCATTAGGGACTGTAGTGACAGGACAAGGGGTAATGGGTTAAAACATAAACAGGGGAAGTTTAGGTTGGATATAAAGAAGAAATTCTTTCCTGTTAGGTCCTAACAGCTGGTTATGTCTCACCTCCAGTGAGGCACTGGAACGGGTTGCCCAGGGAGGTTGTGAATGCTCCATCCCTGGCAGTGCTCAAAACCAGGTTGGACGAGGCCTTGGGTGACATGGTTTAGTGTGAGCTGTCCCTGCCCATGGCAGGGGGTTGGAACTTGATCTGAAGGTCCTTTCCAGCCCTAACTAGTCTATGATTCTAACAGTGGTAAATTAATTTCATTCAGATTAGATTTGCTTGGGACAAAAATCTATGGGATGGTGGAGGGTTTTTTCTCATCCCAGCTAAAAAAATTGCAGCACAGTAACAGAATCATAACTGTAAGATCATTTAGTTCCAACTACCCTGCCATAGGCAGGGACTCCTCCCGCTAGACCAAGTTGCTCAACCAGCCCCTGTCCAACCTGGCCTTGAACACTTCCAGGGATGAAGCATTCACAACTTCCATGGGTAACCTGTTCTAGTGCCTCACCACCATCACAGTGAAGAATTTCTCCCTAAACTTCCCCTGTTTAAGTTTGATACTTAATGTTCTCCCCCTCCATACTAGATCAAGTTAGTCATACCCCTTACCATGCACAGCTGTATTTTGCACTTACTGAAACAAACTCCCCAGCTTTCAAGTGGCTGAAAGCAGAATGGAAGGTGTGTCCCAAACCATTAAAGGAGCCTCAGTGATGTGAGAAAAGTCCCCCTCGAATTACAGAGGGCAGTCTCGCCTTGAGAAAGAAGGAAGTTGGCCTTACAAAATGCTTTTTCCTTTAACTGTCTTGTCAAAAATACCATTTTTAATGTCCTTTCCTTCATCAGAGAGGCAACCTGCAGTCCCAGAGGCTGGCTGCTACCGCACTGCTGGAGAGCCACTCAGGCAGGACTGGAAGTCACTCAAGAGCCTGAAAAACCCTTGAGCGTGAAAATGCCGATGTAACTTGATAGCAGCAAGCTGCATACAGGGACATTATTGGCTGTTAAGCGACGGACTTCTGCGAACAGTGAAGATAAAGATGTTCAATCACATAAATTAATTCAGTAAGATACCCTGAAATGCTTGCTTAACGTGCACACCAGGAGGACTCAGACAATTTTGGAAGCATATCAGGTTACTGGTATTTCTTTAGAATAGTGACCACACATAATCTCATGAGCTCCATTAGCAGGAGTCAGAGCCACCTTGCTATGTGATACCCCAGCACTGTGTGACTGGCTCTGCAGAGATGAACAGAAATGCTTTGTTAGCTCAGATATTACGAGTTGGTGCTTTTGGCAAAGCATCTCCCCTTACAGTGGCTCTGGAGCTCAAAGTAGCTGTGTTATACTGCATCATGGCAAGCATGAAATTTTTAGTTAGCAGCAGGTCCATGGTACTATTAAATTTAAAAGGAAAAATACTGTAATTGAAAAACTGTAGTCTTGGTGGATGGGGAATCCACCAATATCTCACCCATATTTGCCTCCTGGGGTATTTTAACACTTCTAGTTCTTTATCAGAAACTGGAATCGAGGAGGGGATGGGAAAGGGCCAGGAGAACACCTTGAGTCTCACAAAACTTTGCTTCCTGCAAGGAAATTTCTGAACCAGGATTTCCTGATGAAGTTTCTGAACCAATCCACCACATGGGATCCATAAATTACCCCTACAGACGATGCACTCTGGCAGGGGCTCTCTCTCATGTGTCTGTGTAAAACCTAACTTGACAGGGACCCATATTCCAGCTGAACATGCCATTTACTAAGAACATTGTAAAAAATTAAAAATTCATTTTTCCTCTCTAAAATATAGGCCTGGTATTGCTCCTAGCAAAGCAAGGGGCACCGATGGCACTGGCTTTGCCGCTGTAACAGTCTAGCAAGTGACCAGGAAAAGTTACTGGCACCTATGTGGGAAATAAATCTGCCCCTGTGTGTAGCTTTGGGGAGGCGGCTGAGTCCCAAGTCGACGGTGAAGCTGTCCCTCGGGACTGGGATGGGTGAGTAAACGCTGCTGGCCGCACCTAAGGGACTATGCGGGCAAGTGCCCGGCTGCGAGGGGCAGGCGGAGGCCGGCAGCCACGGGGCGGGAGGAGAGGCCTGGGAGAGAGAGGCGGCTAGTGGCCGGGCAGGAACCGCGGGGCAGGGCGCAGCTCCGGGGCAGGGCAGGGCAGGGCAGTATCGCGCCGCAGGAGCGGCGGGCAGGAGGCGGACGGCAGCAGCCACGACCGGGCGCAGGAGGAGCTGAGCGCCCTCCCAGCAGGTACCGGGCCCGGGGAGCTGGGCCGGTGGGAGCGGGAAGTGGGACCGGAGCACCCATCCGGGCCCCGCGGGCGCGCTGCCTGCCGCCGGCTGCCTGAAGGGAAGGGGGCGGTGGAGAGCGGCGCAGGCAGCGGCGGGGCGGCAGGTGCAGGCAGGGACCGCCGGGGAGGCCGAGCAGCGCTCCGGGCCAGCCGCAGAGCTGCCCCGGGGGTCATGGGCAGCCCGAGTCCCCGCGGTGGTGGCTGCCGGCGGAGCCCAGAGCCAAGCGAACCTCCCGAGGTGTCCCCTGCGTCCGGGCCCTCCTCGGACCACCGCGGCAGTTTGCTTTCCCTGCCTAGTCCTCAATGAAAATGTGAAGTTGGGCTTTATATTTCCAGCAGAACCACAGCCGATTTCCATCAGGCTCTGTAACTCGTGGCACACCCCGATATAGCAGTGTGGGACGTCGGTGAGAGTAAATGGGAACACCGCAGCCGGGGAGGCTGTCTTGGGCTGCCTTGATAAAGTTACTCTTCCGTATGTATCACAGACATGATGAACATATCGTAACTGCCTTGTGTATTGATACTTAGAGTATTTAAAGTATACTGCGATTTGTAAATTATTACTTTCTCACTGTGCTCTTGAAAAACTAAAGAAGGCTCCTGAGAAACAAAAGCTAATGATTTTTTTACAAACTGATGTATTTCCCCCAGTGCATACTGATAGGTATATTGAATGGGACAGTGTGTTTTTAAAGTCAGAATTTTTTATGGATATCAGCATGTTGATCTACATGGCTTTTCTAAGTAGGCTAAAACTGGACAGACAATTCAACTTGCAGAATATGAGTTGCAAAATGCAGCATTTGTTATGGGCAGTTAGTGTTATGGGTGATGTGGATATCTATAGTGCCTTGTCACCAGGATGTGAGTGGAGTGGAGACCTTTCATTGCCCGTGGTTTGTTTGCTTATGGCTGTATGAGTGTTAATTTTACAGTGTGCTTCCAAGATTTGTCTGAAGACTGTATTTTCTACCAAGTGACAGACCTTGAGAAATGGAGGGAGGTAGAAA